CAGATATTCAGAAGTCCTAATGAGAAAATGACTTAAGCTTCTTCTACTTCACCTTTTGGCAGAATTATTGACAGAATGAAGGCAATGTTTTCCCAGAGAAAAGACAAGTCAATCCTTTAAACATTAAAACTGAAAATGCACCACTGCTCTGATGCATTTCAAATATATTTCCAGGAAAGACAAAGGAGAAACTAAGAAGCATTAGTTTGAGCAACATTAAAGAGACTGGCTGGAGGCAGAACTGCCCAACCATTCAAGAAGCAAAGGATCTGCTGGTTTGGAGGGCTGGACTACTCATCTGTACTGCTGATGAAAACAGGAAATTGTTGCCAATTGCTAATTTCTTTTTTTTTTTTCTTAGCTAAGAAAGAGGCAGATGAAACACACAGACTGGCTGAAGATAGTAGTAGTATTCTCTGGAAATCAGCATCAAGAACAAGGAGTCCTGCTCAACCTTCTCAGTAAATAATGGAGGTTCCCCATCATCCTCTATTTAGGGACATCTTTGTTACTGTGATAGAGATGTTCAGTCATTCAACCACCTGCCCATCAGTCCAATGACAAACATTTATTGGACACATAGTGTGTGCCATGCGCCGCCCTAGGTACTGTGTGTATGAGGAGAGAAAGTAATAAAAAAAAAAGGAGTATCATTCTTCTTCCACAAGGATTTAAAAGTCTAGTGGAGACAAAAAAGAAAAAACTCTCCCAAAAGGGATGTCTCATTGAGCTCAAACAAAGCAGAAGCCACACCCATTAGAGAGAAGAAAACTGAACAAAAAGAACCTTTCCTTGGAAAGAGTGAGGAACTTGGAACTGGATGTCAGTCTGAGTCTTGGTGCCTCAATTCATAGGCCAGGTGGTTTGAATATGTCATTTACCCTTTCCAAGCCTCAGTTTTCTGCATCAACTGAGAAAAATAATGCCTACTTACCTACTAGGGCTGAAGTTTAAAGGAGATGACGCAAATGAAAGCACCCCTGTACCCAAGAGCTAGCTCAACAGGGTGAATCTGACAGAGTCAGTTTAGGACTGAGGGGACTGGTAACTTCAAACCCACCCAGAGGTGCCTCTGAAGTAAGGCCTGGCAATCTCCTTCCAAAAGGTCACAGCCTTGAAAACCCTATGGAGCAATTCTACCTGCACACTTGGGGTTGTCATGAGTAGGAATAGACTCCACTGGAACTAACAACAAGAAGAGGCACAGAGAGATAACTGATTTTGGTGGGACCATCACCTTTGAGTTGAAGACAGAAATGCAGTTGTTTTACAACTGCCCCTCCTTCCCCATAATAGTATTCAGTCTTTCCATTTGTCACTACTGATGCATTTGCGTGGGGTGCCAGCAAAAGGAACAACGGATGAAGCACTGGATTTAGGGCACCTCTAACTGCGTGACCTTGGGCTCACTTTACCCCCTCGCGCTTCATTTTCTCATCTGCAAAACGAGGATCAAACTTCCTGCCTTAACTATCCGCCCAGTTTTTGTGAGGATCCAAATATTATGTTTAGTTAATTATTTTTTCCCTCGACAACTAGGCGTTCCGAAGAGAAAGGCATCATCCCGGTTTGCTTTGTCACTCTCATTTCTTCTCGACCTTCATTAACTTTATAATTTATAATTATAGAAATAACTGAAATTCTATGGACATTTCTGGCACCAGATTGTCGGGCCCCACCCAGATACACCACCAAGCTGCCCCGCCCGCTCGGGGACGCAGGAAATTTAGCCCCTCTCCTCCACCCGCATACCGGCCTTCGCCCTTCTGGTACCACTGAGTTCCCGAAGCCAATCCCCACAGTCCTGGTACACCGCACCGCCCCTTAGAGGGGGAAACACTACGGCGACCCGGAAGAACGGCAAGGTCGTGAGCCAATCACTGCAGAGGGCTGCCCTCATCCGGCAAGGCCCAAAGGCGGGATCACAGTCAAGATGGACAGCAAGAGCAGCCAATAGAATTATCATAAATTGGTGCGCGGGCGGGCACCGAGCGCTCACAGAGCGGTTAAGGCCCCTCGATTCAAGGGCCCACCGACCCGGCTCGGACTACAACTCTTTCCTTTACCTTCTCCAAAGTTCTCTATCCCACGGTTGCCGCCCGGCCGCCCTGCCTACGAACTACGGGTGGGGGAGGACGGAGGCGGCGGCGGCTGAACTCGCCTGACAGGCCGGGCCAGTGACAAAGAGGCAGGCTGAAACCCGGGAAGCTATCCCTTCGAGGAGGAGAGCACAATTCCCTTTAGAAATAGGAAAGATGCAACTCACGTTGTCGATCACGACAGGCTGGTTGGCGATCACATCGTAGGACTCCATGGTACAGGAATCTCTCCTTCCGAGGAAGGAACTGCCAGCCCAGTCCGCTGCTAACGCCGCTGACACGCATGCGCAGTCTCGCTGCCTGTATAGGGCGGCCAGGCACTGTGTCCGAGCTCGCCCTCCAAAGAACTACAATCCCCAGCATGCTTTGCACCAAGGTTAGTTAAAAGACCGGTTTTGGAGACCCGCCTCTTAAACCTGGACTGGGCGTCCGCGTTTCCGTCGCACAGTACTCTGGGTTTTGTAGTCTCCGTAGAAAAATAGATGGAGACGCAGATTGATGCTTGTGTTGCATGCTTCGATCTGTAGTCCGTTTGAAAGGTTTCGCAGTGCATACTGAAGTGTGTAGTCTTCTTGAGTACTTGTCTGTAGTTCGATTTGAATTGGTCAGTAATTCGTGGATGTTTGGAGTTTACAGATCGGTACTGGCCACTGCACCCTCACTTCCCCTGGACAGTATAAGGTTGCCATGTTTTTATTTGGATCTATAAGACATTAAAAAAGAAACACCTATCACCATCACACTTTGACAGAAAGGTCATTTTAATACACATACACACACACACACGGAAGGACGTATTCTCAGAACAAAGGAAATCATTTAAATTGCGTAAAATTTGCTGTAAGAAAAAAGCAGTACATTGTCGTTACTATTCACATTTTTTCCTGGATAGGTGTAAACTTTGTAACAGATTGACGTTGGTCTGAAGACTGGCATTTGAAACTACTGGTATAGGTGATCTTTTGGCCAGCTGCTGCTCTAGTATCTCTTTAATTTTCACGGGGAGCTAGAATTGACATGGTTTTGTTAGATGAGGAAATAGAAGTGAAGAGAGGTTATGTGTTACTGCTCTTAAATAAACAGTGCATTTCCTCTGGGTTTTCTTTAGTGTATCTTTCCCCTGTTAAAGTTACAGGGACCCTTTGGTCAATAGCACTGGTAGCCACTCCCTCCTATCCCTTTCTCTTGGCATTTCTTCAAGATCATTGAATGAAAGACATTAGTGAATGAAAATAATTTTCAACCCAGTGCCTAAGGAATTAAAGGAAAATTCTCCCAGTTACAGAGAGTGAGGTAATGGGAAAGGACGGACCCATAGTGGATAATGAGTACTGGTATTCCTCAAAGCAAACTGCATACGTCTGCTTAAAGCAGAACAAAGAAAGACATTCTCAATAAAAGCGTTTATTAAATAATTACTAAGTCATATAACCCAAGGAAGCAGCAGTCAAGAAATCAAAATTTGCATTGGGCAAATCTGCTGCGAAAGACCTCTTTCAAGTGCTAAAAAGCAAAGATGTCACCTTGAAGACTAAGGTGTGCCTGACCCAAGCCAAGGTGTTTTCAATTGCCTCTTTGCATGTGAAAGCTGGACAATGAATAAGGAAGACCAAAGAAGAATTGACGCCTTTGAATTGTGGTGTTGGCGAAGAATATTGAATATACCATCGACTGCCAGAAAAACAAACAAATGTGTCTTGGAAGAAGTACAGCCAGAATGCTCCTTAGAAGCAAGGGTGGCGAGACTTTGTCTCACATACTTTGGACATGTTACCAGGAAGGATCAGTCCCTGGAGAAGGACATCATGCTTGGTAAAGTAGAGAGTCAGTGAAAAAGAGGAAGATCCTCAACTAGGTGAATTGACACGGTGGGCTGCAACAATGTGCTCAAGCATAACAACTGTGAGGATGGTGCAGGATGGGCAGTGTTTCATTCTGTTGCACATAGGGTCGCTATGAGTCGGAACTGGCACCTAACAACAACAAAGTCATATAAATTGACCCTAGTTTAACCAACTCTTGTTACTTTCTGACCAAACTTGTTGCCATGAAGTCATTTCCGATTCATAGAGACCCTATAGGACACAGTAGGACTGCCCCACAGGGTTTCTGAGGCTATAATCTTTCTCCCAGCTGAGAGACACTACTTTCTGACACTATGCCAAAAAGTATTTATTACCTGTTGACTTATTTCAGGATCCCTGGTGGCGCAGTGGTTAAGCGCTTGGCTGCTGACCGAAGGGTCGGCAGTTCCAACCCACCCTGCGTCTCCGCTGGGAGAAAGATGTGGCAATCTGCTTCCATAAAGATTACAGCCTCGGAAATCCTAAGGGGCAGTTCTAGTCTGTCCTACAGAGTCGCTATGAGTCGGAATTGACGGGCCGGCAATGGGTTTTGGTGACTTATTACAACGTATGTTCCCTGAATTTGATCGTTATAGGATCGCTATGAATCGGAATCGATGCGACGGCGATGGGTTTTAACAGTGTCAGTGAATATGTGAATGGATATTCAAAAACAGTAGGAAACATTGGATTAATAATAAAACTAGTGCCACACGGACAAATGAACCAAACTACTGTCGGATTTATTTAAATGTCGGTTAGCAGCGTATAAGCAGAACAGTGACTAACCCTATGTCCGAGCACTTCACAGTGCCTTTCGTGGGACCCTAGCACCTCACAGGGATGCCTCTTTCAACGTCTGTATTTAAACACGTCTTCCTCCTAACACTAGGAGGAGACGAAGAGCCTTGGGACACCCCCAACTCAGCGACGAGGAGGCGGGGCCTATTGTCAGATCACGCCTTTCCACCTGTGACTGGCACAGACGCTAGCCAATAAATGTCAGGAAAGGGCTCACTAGCGCCCCGCCCCTTTGAGCGCCCTGCGGCCCCCAGGCACCCTCTGGCCGACTCCGCGGCGGCGGCGGCCTGGGCGGACAGTGTGTAGTGCGCAGGCGCGGAGAATAGACCTCGCTGCCGCTCCCATTGCCTCGGGGAGTCGCACCCACGGAGTCCGCCTGCTGGCCAGTCAGTGCTATCCTCCTGACCCGCCCTCCCCGGCTCCCCCAGCACCCTACGTGCCCCAATGGCGGAGCTGCGGCCTAGCGGTGCCCCCGGCCCCACTGCGTCCCCGGCCCCTGGCCCTACTGCCCCCCCGGTATTTGCCTCCCTCTTTCCCCCGGGACTGCACGCTATCTACGGAGAGTGCCGCCGCCTTTATCCCGATCAGCCGAATCCTCTCCAGGTTACTGCTATCGTCAAGTACTGGTATGCCCTGGGCCGCGGGGAGACGGACGAGAGGGCTGGGAAGGGTTAAAGCGCCGGGGCGAGGAAATTTGCGGGGGAAGAGGGGAGGAGGAGAAGAAGGGTTAAAGCACTTGCAAGAAAGACTTTCTGCTGCGAGGGAAGAATTAAGGCACAAGTTGGGAATGGAGACAAAGGGGTTAACGGAGACTGTGGGCAGTGAAGGGTTAACGGGGGAGGGGAGGATGAAGGGTTAACAGAGATTAGAATGAAATAAGAACTGGGGTGTGTGAAGGAGCGGAGAGGGGTGCCTTATGAGAGAGGGAACTGTAAACGTGGTGAAAGGAGGGGGCGCTAGTAGGGGGTCCTTAGTGGTCGGGGAGAAGCCGAGGATGGGGGTCGACTGAAGTGGGATGGGGAAGGCGAGGCGGGGCCTGGGGAGCAAGTGAGAGGGCTTTGGAGGAGCTCAGAGGGCACGAGACTGCAAAGGACAGCGGCGGGTCTGGGGGCCTTCCTGAGAGTTAGGAGGGCAGCCAGTTGCAAGAGTTGTGCTTGTGAAGAGATGAGATCTCCTTTTGATACCTTTTCGATGAGCTCAGACGTGATACCAGTGCAAAGCTTTTGCTTTTGAAGTTTGACCAGCAAGTGTTCCTGATAAACTTTTTGCTTGTTCTGCACAGTGTTCCTCCTTCGTGCAGAGCTCCCTCTGGCTCTGCAGCTGGTTTGCTCTGGACATTGGCTAGAACAGGGGCAAGTTAAGGAGATCCATGGTTTGGCTCAGGACTAAAAGGACCACAGATTCCACTTCCAGTAGGAAGTAAATGATGGAGACCTGGGACCAGCCAGTGAAGAAAGAAGTGCAGTGAGACTTAGGAGATGCTTCCTGGCCACCCGCTTCAGTACTTAAGCAGTAGTTTCCCAGGGCAGCTGAGGGTATCCCTCAAGTAGTTCTGTTAAGGATCAGGCTGGCTCACAGATGGGCAACCTTGGTGTAGGAATGGGTCTTTTCTAGTTTCCTGTCCCTGTTTGCAACCTGTCTCTTCCTACAGCCTCTGGGCAAAACAGGTGCTACTGCGGCTCTGGAAAAAAGCCCATCCTCTCGGTCTTTCTGGGCCAAATGTTAACTGAGGAATTAGTTGAGTCTGTTCAGGACCACACTCATACAGGCACTGTATTAGATGCTCCCCTTCAGTGGGTCCTGAAAGACAGTTCAGACAGCTACTGAACTGTTGGGGTGTGGCCAAAGGGGCAGGTAGACCCAAAGGTGGAAGAGAGTGGCTATCTTGGCTAGTTACCTCTCCCATTGGGACTGAGTCCTTCTCCGCCGTGACTGTGGCTTACTTCCTCTGCAGACAGCAGTTGCAGGCTGTGCAGAGCTGAGGCTTGCTCCCTGTGTTGGTGGGAGAATGCCACCACGGCCTTGGGACCAGCCACCTGCTCCTCAGGGAGGACCATGGGGGGCAGCTTGCCTCTGTCTGGGCAGCCAGGAGGAGGTGTGGCTGGCAGTGCAGTTCTCTCTGGCAGGAAAACTGTTCTTTGGTTGAGAGGAGTTTTTGGAGAGCCTCTGAGTGCAAAGTAGTTCTTGCTAACTTAACCAGCCATTCTGATTGCGCCTCTACATTTAAATATGTGTTGGGAGGAGCTCTGTTGAAGTGCGTCTTGAGAAAAGTGGGTCTGGCTCTGTCATGCTGTTTGTTCAGGCCTCCTTTGAGTGTGAGGAGAAATCCCTCCACAGACTCAGGCAACTGCTTTTATCTGTTACCCAAGTGGTGATAAAGGATGGCACTGTCTGTAAAAGGTATTGAAGCACGTGCAAACAACTAAGACTAGTTTGGGCAACCTTTTTTTTTTCTTTTCGTCCTGCTGCAAGCTTGTTAACCAGGCCAGGACTTAGCTTCAGAGATGGGCCAGCTTGTAATGATGAATAAAGAGGGTTGGGTTGTACAGCACTTGGTGAAATTAGAAATGCTGCCTAGATGCAAAAAAATAAGAGGGAACAGCTCAGTGACAGATAGGAGCTTTCCAAGATTCGAAGGGGTTTGCATAATTGAGATCCTGAAGTTCATTAATATCCCTCACATTTGGGATCCCATGTGTTGCCTGGCTCCATGAGGCCTCTTCAGTTCTCATAGCAGAATGATTGATCGAGGCTGCCTGGTCTGGCTGTGGCCCAGGGTACTTTGGGATTCCTCTTCCTGCAGTGGTAGGATGGCTCTTTGGCTAGTGGTGCTGGCCAGAGACAACCTGGCTGAAGGCTGAGACTTTAGTGAGTAGGGAGCAGAAGCATAGAGGCAGAGCCTGTGCTCTGGGTCCTTTCCAGTCCTGCAACTGGCCTGTGGAGTGAAATCAGGTGTTCAAGACTCCTCTCCTCCGGAATTAAGTTGAAGGATGCTCTGGGTCCTTGGCTAATATCTTTTTCTAAGTATAAAATAAGATTATTTTCCACATAGGCATCTGATTCCAATCAGGTCTGGGAGTAGTAGAACAGAACACTCTGTGTTTGGGGCCAAGGTTAAGTTTATCTGTTAGTCATTCCTTGCCCTTGTAGTTTTAAGGAAAAGCCTCTCCCCTTGATAACACCTCCTGGGACACGTGGAGATAGAAAGGGGCTGCAGTGGTATGACACATGGAGAATTGAATGGTGAAAGCAGTTTTACCACTTGTTGGTGGGTGGATTTCGGCTGAAGGAGAGGCAGGATTGGGAATTTGTAGTAGGAAACTGGAGGAGATATAGGCCCTGTCGTCTTTCTCATCTGTTCCGGGGTTCTATAGCTATCATGAGGTCCTTCCAGGGATCTTTTGTTTCCTCCTTCCCCCCACAAACTGTTCTAAATTTAGATGGTTCTGGGATTAGTCAAATGATTTGGTGAAATCAGGGCTAATGAAAGATATGGAGATTTGTCCTTTTTCTTAACCCACTTGGTTGAGATTCTAAACTATTTGTAGCGCTTTCTTACAAGTTCTATAAATAACTTCGCATTTCCTAGCAGAGAGTAAGGATCTCTACAAAGGCAAATAATATCCTGGCAAAAGAGGATGAAACCAGACCTACTGGTTTTAAATTGTGTTTCAATTGCATGGTACTGGCATGTTTGCTGGGATCACATGTAACCTGTCTTTTATGTGGTTGATAGCACACCTTCAGCATACTATCCCTGTTGCAAAGTGCACTCCATCAATGCCCCAGGGTCAGGCAAATGTTTACAGTCTGTGGAATGGTCAGATGTCCAAGGCAGCTCAAATGCAGGAGTGTTTGTGTGTGCTAAATGCAGACTTCCTTCCGTTGATGGTTTCCATTTAGTCTATTTCTCAAGTCTATGAAGATCCCCTATCTATTCTGAAGAAAAGCAGGATTTTTTTTTAAGCACTAATTACTCTACTAAAGGAAACCCTTATTGAATTAAATCCTCCGAGTGAGATAATGACTGAATCTCTTCCACAACTGTTTCTCTGTTGGAATTGAGGGGGAAATTTATTGTGGTCCTCAGAGGCCTTCAGTCATTGAATGTTGCAGCTCTACCTTTGAGCCAGCAGTCTCCTGGGATCATCTTCCAGATGCAGGCGATCACAGGTCTCAGCCGGGCTCCTGCTGCAGTTCTCTGTGCAGAGCTGAGCTAGCCTAAGTTTGGCCTTTGTCACTTGCAATGATAAAAGACTAGCTTTGGTCTGCAGGATGCAGGCCGGCCAGCACCGCAGGCTTTGGGTTTGTTTAGAACAAACTGTAATTAACATAGGGCACAATATAGTCTTTCAGGCGTTAACCCTCTAAGAGGCAGGAGTGGAGCGGAGCCTCTGCTTCCAGGAACAATGCCCATTGGGGGTGCTCCAGATGATCTTTCAACAGAGGCCAGTTGATTGACTGCTATATCTCTTGTCTGAAGCTTGGCATGTTTACCAGCACCACAGAGGAGATTATCCTTGCCAATCCCATTTGGGATCTGTAATTTGAAACAACAGGAAGCAAAATGGGCAACCACCCAGTCTGTTGTATTTCTAAAAGAGGTCCTGCCTGTTGGGAGTTGGAGAAGGGAGCTTCTTGTGCTTGTGGCATTGGGCAGCCTCTGGCTATCCATCTCTCAGTCTTATCCCAGAGTGGTGTGGCCTGCCTTCAGGTCTCTTTTACCCCAGATTCCTCCGGGATGGTGCCTTTTGGATTGCAAAGCAGAGCTCCTTAGCTTGGCATGGTCTGGTTTCCAGGCTCACACTAACACCTCTGTGTTTTTCTTTTGCAGGTTGGGCGGCCCAGACCCCTTGGACTATGTTAGCATGTATAGGAATGTGGGGAGCCCCTCTGTCAACATCCCCGAGCACTGGCACTACATCAGCTTCGGCCTGAGCGATCTCTATGGTGACAGCAGAGTCCATGAGTGAGTGTGTGCCGCCTTCCCACGCTCTACCTGTCCATCCCTTAGTCTTGAGCTTCATTTCGGAGGTTCTTCTGAGCAGGGGTAGTAATGTCATAGCCTGTGAGGTTGATACTTCTTGGGTGGACCCTCTGGGTTTCTGCTTTTTGCCTGTATTTACTCATTCCAAAGTGGTCCAGGTCAGCATCGAAGCACTGCTCTTCTGGTATAGGAAAGTGTCACTGATGAGCAAGAGTTCCAAAACCATCAGGTTTCTCCAAGCTCGCTCAGGAGTTTAGACTCAGAGGATAGGCCACATAGCTCAAACCCAAAACTTGGGTTGATACTTCTAAGTCTACTTCCTTTTTTTCCCTCAGCATTTTATTATGAAAAATTTTAAACATAGAACAGAGTTGAAAGAATCTTATAGTGAACACCTGTAAGAATGGCATGGCAGAAACATCTGACCTCCTTGTCTAACTTCACAAGGTGGGGAGGAGAATCATTATCAGCATCAACAGCCCAAGGCTGATTCCTATGAGGCAGAAGTCAGACATGCGTCCACCCTCCAACTTTTTTACCAATTCTGGCACCAACCATCCTTTCCAGGGCACTCTACTTCTCTGCTGGGTTTGATAATTCCTTGCAATGGCCACACAGAACTCAGACCATACTCACAGTTATAGGGTTTATTAGGGAAGTAACAGGTTACAATTCAGGATCAGGAATGACTCAGGATACAGTTCTTCGATCAGGAGAGCCTCTTCTTAGTTGTGTCCACAGGCAGGTCTCTCTCTGACCCTCAGCTCCTCAGCCCGGCCTCTGCCCATCTCCTGGCAGTCTCCTGATTCATGCTGTCTCACGACACATCTCTTGCTGTCTTCTGTGTTACAGCTTCTCTCTTTCTCCCTATGTCTGCCTTTAAGCCTAGTGGTATGCCAGACTGACCAATCCTCTTGTTATGATTCCATATACCTTATTTGCATGGTCCCACCTCCCCACAAGGGTGCCATGCACCTTATTTACATTATTAGCAAGCTATCCAATCCCCTTGGTGGACCATAAGCACCTCATTTGCATAGCCCACCCCGTCATTTGATAGGAGTTACAACACCATGGTGAGAAAGGCCATATGAAAGTGATCTATCACACCTCAGGCCACCCCCTGGCTTTTCTAGCTGTGGTTCTTTCATACTTGGAGGATAACTTCCCCCTCCCAATCATTTTACCAGTCCAAAACAGTCATTAATAATTAGTGCTTTGCCTGTGAGCGGCCATCTAAGATACTCTACTGGTCTCATCCCTAAGGGAGCAAGCGAGAATGAAGAGAACAGCATACAAGGAAAAGATTAGTCCAAAGGACTAATTGTCCACAGCTACCAAGGCCTCCGCCGGACTGAGTCCAGTACAGCTAGATGGTGCCCGCCTACCACCACTGACTGCTCTGACCAGGATCACAACAGAGGGTTCTGGACAGAGCTGGAGAA